TTTGAGGCCGCCGTGGCGGTCGGCGACGCCGCCGGGGATGACGCGCGAGATGTAGATGGGCGAGTTCTGCTCCTTGCCCCCCATGATGTTGAAGCCCAAACCCTCCTCGGTCTTGGGCAGCTCCACCACCCGCGGGTGCGCGTGGCCCTCGCTGGCCGCGAACGCCGCCACCGTGGCCTGGGGACAACGGGGGGGACAGTGGGGACATTTGGGGACATTTGGGGACATTGGGGACATCAAGGACAGTGGGGACATTGAGGGGATTGGGGACATTGGGGACATTGGGGACAGCTGGGACACCGGGACATTGGGGACACCAGGACAATGGGGACATTGGGGACAGCTGGGGACATTTGGGACATCGGGGACATTGGGGACATTTGGGACATTGGGGACATTGGGGACATTGGGGACATTGGGTCATCGAGAGGATTGGGGACATTGGGGTGATTGGGGGCAATGGGGGCTTTGGGGGCATTGGGGACACTGGGGACATTGGGGACATTTGGGGACGTCGGGGACATTTGGGGACATTTGGGGACATTTGGGATAATGAGGACACTTGAGGACATTGGGGTCATTGAGGGGACTGGGGACATTGGGGACATCGGGGGCTTTGGGGACACTGAGTATACTGGGGGATACTGGGGACACTGGGGACATTTGGGGACATTTTGAGACATTGGGGACATTTGGGATACTGAGGACATTTGAGGACATTGGAGACATTTGGGACATTTGGGGACATTTGGGGACATTGGGGACATTTGGGGACATTGGGGACATTTGGGATACTGAGGACATTTGAGGACATTGGAGACATTTGGGACATTTGGAGACATTTGGGGACATTGGGGACATCTGGGGACATTTGGGGACATTGGAGACATTTGGGACATTTGGAGACATTTGGGGACATTGGGGACATCTGGGGACATTTGGGGACATTGGGGTCACTGGGGACGTTGAATTGTTTTGGGGTCCTGGCCGAGTTTTGGGGTCCCCAGGGTGGTCTTGGGCTCCCTGGGGACATTTTGGGGTCCCAGGGGAGTTTTGGGTTCCCTGGGAGATTTTTGGGGTCCCAGGTGGTGTTTTGGGGTCCCGGGGTGGTTTTTGGGGTCCCGAATGAGTTTTTGGGGTCCAAGGGGGATTTTTGGGGTCCCAGGGTAGTTTTTAGGATGCCAGGGGTGTTTTTGGGGTCCCAGGTGGATTTTTGGGGTCCCGGGGGTGGTTTTGGGGTCCCGGGGTGTTTTTGGGGTCCCAGGTGGATTTCTGGGGTCCCAGGTGGATTTCTGGGGTCCCGGGGGTGGTTTTGGGGTCCCAGAGGAGTTTTTGGGGTCCCAGGGGGAATTTTTGCAGTCCCAGGGGTGTTTTTGGGGTCCCAGGTGGATTTTTGGGGTCCCAGGTGGATTTTTGGGGTCCCAGGGTAATTTTTGGGGTCCCGGGGGTGTTTTTGGGGTCCCGGGGTGTTTTTGGGGTCCCAGGTGGATTTTTGGGGTCCTGGGGGTGGTTTTGGGGTCCCGGGGTGTTTTTGGGGTACCTTGGCCGTGGCGTGGGCGCGGATTTCGGGGCTCCCCGCGATGTCCAAGGTGTCGTAGAGCTGCTCGTAGACCTGGGGGGACCCCGGGATTGGGGGGGACCCCAAAACCCCAGGGGGGAACTGGGGGGGTCCCAGGAAAAGATTTTGGGGGGGAG